TGGTACTGGTGGTGGTAGTTGTGGTGGTGGTGATGGTAGAGGTGGTAATGGTGGTGGTAGTGGTGGTGGTAGTGATGGTGGTAGTGATGGTGGTAGAGATGGTGGAGAGATGGTGGGAGTGGTGGTGGAAATACAGTGGACCCTCAGTTAACGATATTAATCCATTCCAGAGAACTTGTCCTTAACCGATTTTATTGCCATCCGAATTAATTTTCCCCATAAGAAATAATGGAAATCCAATTAATCCATTCCAGACACCCATAAGTTTTAAAAAAAAATAAATTTTTTCACATGAAATACACATTTTCCTACACAGAAAACAATGAGGCATGCAAAATAAATACATTAACCCTTTGAGGGTCTGTGCTGTAGATTTAATGTTTGACATTGAAGATCCAAACCGTAGATCTACGTCATGAGCTCAGCTCACTCTGATAAGCTGTGCCCGGTAAATTTTGGCCTAGATGTGAGAGAATACATCTATGTGGTATGTGTGCACCACATAAAACAAATCCTGCAGCACATAGTGCATAATGAGAGAAAAAACTGAGACTAATTTTCGATTAAAACAGCGAATTTACGGTGTTTTTTTGTATGTTTTTTATAGTTGTATTTGCGATTTCTTAGTCTCATTTGACAGAATGGAAGATCTACTACAGAAATAGAGATGATTTTGATTGGTTTTAATACTGGAAATGGCTTGAAACTGAGCTGAAAGTAGCGGAAATGTTAAATTTTTGCCGATGTTCAAGAGTTAACATATGACCTCACACGTCTAATACACACCAGCTGGTGGGTCTAATATACATTCACAAATGTGGTGATATTTGTATAATTATTACAATATTGCATAACAGTAAATCTTCTATTTTTTAGTTTGAATAAAAATTCATTATGTGAATAAAAAGTCGAAATGGAATTCATTAGTAAAGCCTGAAAACATAACTAATGAACAGAGGAAATGTTAGTTTAGTGCCAGGAATGCCTGCATTGTTTATTCTGGACCCTATTTTGAAATTGGAGAATATTGAACTTTGCATTAAATTGGCCTAAGTACCAATTTCCGATCACTTTATTTTGCAGTTGCAACACTTGACTTGGTGAATTCTTGTGCTCAATCAATAGAATAGAAGTAATACTAGTGAAATAGCTAAGAATTTGGTCAACTGGAATAATGTAATTGACCTAAAATGGAAGCCAAAGTCGGCAAAATTGCTAATGCGTAAATATCGCTGACACATCAAAATTCGCGAGAGCATAATTTCGTCAGTTTTCCATCAAATTTCATACTTTTTGTTTCATTACCTTCAGAAAAAGATTCTCTACCATTTCATAAGAAAAAATAACACAATTATTTTTTGAAAATTCTTGGACACTGGTGCACACTTTGAAATTTGGCCTCTGGACCCTGAAAGGGTAAATTCATAAAATGACACATTTATTGAAGACTTTGTGACGAGACGGAAGGAGGGGAGAGGATGGAGGTGTATTAATGTTTGGAAGGGGAATCCTCTTCCATAAGGACTTTAGGTAGCAAGTACTTTTCTGGGATTACCTCCCTTCTTTGTTTTTTAATGCACTAGGACCAGCTTGAGAGTCACTGAACCCCTGTCGCACCAAAAATCTGTTCAGAGAGCTTTGTTTCTGGTGTGTCTTTAAGATTTTCTTAAAATGGGACACAACATTGTCATTGTAAAAGTCACCAACACGGCTTGCAACAGCTGTATCAGGGTGATGTTCATCCATAAAGGCTTGCACCTTTGTCCACAGTGTGAAGTTGAAGAAGGCAACTTCCTCCATCTCTCTTCCCCTTCCTCTGAAGCAATTTCTCAGCTGTGGTCTCTTACTGTTGCAGATGAAGCTCTTGTAGCTCATCAGTGGTTAGCTCTTAGTCGTCGTTCTCCACCAACTCTTCCACATTCTCGCCACTAACCTCCAGCCCCATGGACTTCCCCAATGACACAATAGATTCCACAACTTGTATAGGCTCCTCAGTGTTAGCCCCAAACCCTTCAAAATCCCACTTTTGTACACATTGTGGCCACAGTTTTCTCCAAGCAGAGTTCAAAGTTCTGCAATTCACTCCCTCTCAAGGCTTACCTATAAGGTTTATGCAACTGAGGATACTGAAGTGATCTTTCCAGAACTCTCTTAGGGTCAATTCAGTGTCTGAGGTCACTTCAAAGCACTTTTGAAACACTGCTTTGGTGTACAGTTTTTTGAAATTTGAAATGTCCTGCTGGTCCATGGGCTGGAGGAGAGGAGTGGTGTTAGGGGACAAAAATTTCACTTTGATGAAACTAAACTCCCCCTCAATTCGCTCTTGCAAGTCAGGAGGATGAGCAGGAGCATTGTCTAATACCAGGAGGCACTTGAATTCCAGTTTATTTTCCAGGAGGTATTTTTTCACACTGGGGCCACACAGTTGACAGAACCAATCGAGGAAAATGTCCCTAGTGACCCATGCCTTACTGTTTGCCCTCCACATCACACACAAATTAGGTTTAACGACACTGTTTTTCTTGAACACTCTGGGAGTTTCAGAGTGATATACCAGTAAAGGCTTCACTTTGCAATCCCCACTAGCATTACTACAAAACATGAGATTTAGCCTGTCTTTCATAGGCTTGTGTCCTCGGAGTGCCTTTTCCTCCTGAGTAATGTAGGTTCTGTTTGGCATTTTCTTCCAATACAGGCCTGTTTCGTCAAAACTGAACACTTGTTGGGGTTTTAATTTTTCAGCCTCTATGTACCTCTTAACCCTTTGACTGTTTTCGGTCATATATATACATCTTACGAGCCTCCGTGTTTGACGTATATATACTCAAAAATTCTAGTGGCTTCAAATCAAGCAGGAGAAAGCTGGTATACCCTTATGTGAGAGAATGGGTCTGTGTGGTCAGCATGCACCTTATAAGAAAAATCCTGCAGCACACAGTGCATAATGAGAAAAAAAAAATCTCTGATTGTTTTTTTGGATTAAAATGATGACTTTGTGGTGTATTTTCATATAGTATTTATGGTTGTATTCTCATTTTCTTGCTCTCATTTGATGGAATGGAAAACATTATAGAAATAGAGGTGATTTTGATTGGTTTTACTATGAAAAGAACATTGAAATGGAGCTCAAAATAGGGAAAATGTTTGATTTTTGCCGATGTTCAAAAGTAAACAAACAAATGATGTCATTGTCCAATAAATGTCCAACTAGCCATTCTAATATGCAGTCATGAACGGGTTGACATTATTTATACAATTATTACAATATTGCAGTAGTCTGCATAACAGTAAATCTTCTATTTTTTGTTTGAATAAAAATTCAAAATAGAAAACAAGAGTAATATCAGAGAGGCCTGGAGACGTGACTGATGAACAAATAAAATGTTATTTTAGAGCCAGGAATGTCTGAATTGTTCATTTTGGACCCTGTTTTGAAATTGGCATATTTTTTAATTTTCATGAAATTGGCCAAATTGCAAATTTCTGACCACGTTATTGGGTAGTTGAAATCAGTAAATGGGCAGTTTCTTGTACTCAATCAATAGAACAAATGGAGTTCTAAAGAAATAGCTATGAGTTTAGTCGACTGGAACAATGGAATTAGCCGAAAATAGGGCTCAAAGTGGGCGAAATCACCGATTCGAAAATATTGCCAAGGTCACAAGAGTGTAATTCCGTAAGTTTTCCATCAAATTTCTTTTTTGGTGTCATTACCATCAGGAAAAGATTCTCTATCATTTCATAGATTTTTTTTTTTTTTTTTTTTTTTCAACACCAGAAGACACCTCAGGATTTGGGGTTTTGACAGTCAAGGGGTTTAAGTCCTGCACATATTTTTCAACTGCTTTTTTGTCATAACTGGCAGCCTCACCATGCCTTATCACACTGTGTATACCACTACAATTCTTAAATCTCTCAAACCAGCCTTTGCTGGCCTTAAATTCATCAATATCAGCACTAATTGGAGGCATTTTATTAATGAGATCCGCATGCAACTGCCTTGCCTTTACACATATAATTGACTGTTAAACACTATCTCTTGACAATTGTTTCTCGTTGATCCACACCAACAAGTCTCTCCACATCTTCAAGTATGTATTTGCAATCTCTGTTTTGTAAGCACATTTGCACCTTTCGCAACAACAGCTTCCTTGATTGCCTTTTTGTTGGCCAAGATAATAGTGATGGTTGATTGGGGTTTGTTATACAACCTGGCCAGTTCGGAGGCACGCACTCCACTTTTGTACTTTGCGATTATCTCTTTCTATAATTCAATAGTATTTCTCACTCTTTTTCCCACCGGGTTGGCACTAGAAGCTTTCTTTGGGCCCATGGTGGCTTATTTAGCAGTTACAAGCACTAAAAACAATGGAATAATACAAAATGTATTGTATCTACGTGTGGAATAGTTCACACTGGCTTGTAAACAATGGCACACTGGTTACACTGGAGTGACCGGGTGGCCTGGCTGGCACAGGCTCTGTGGACAAGTTCTGGACGAATGTCCTTAACTGAGTTTTTTATTGATAGCCGAGCCAATATTTTGATGCAAAAATGTATTGGTATCCGATTTTATCGCTATTCGATGGCATCGTTAACTGAGGGTCTACTGTAGTAGTAGTGGTGGTGGTGGTAGAGGTGGTGATGGTGGTGGTGGTGATAGAGGAGGTGGTGGTGGTAGTAGTGTAGCAAGTAAGTTAAGCACTTAAGCGATAGAGTTTATGACGAATGAAAGTGAGCACCCTCCACCTCCGTCAGCATCTTCTGTTAGCCCAAGTCGTTTGATCTCCAAGATAAATACACTTTATAAAACCAGCTTATTTCTTAACATTCTCTTTTATTATGTTTTATGTTTTTATACAGTATTTCTTATTTATAAATACTTTTTCTTATTTAAAAACCAATAACAAAAAATTAGGGTGGGTTTTTTGGGGGGCTAGAATGGATTAATGGCATTTCAGTTAATTTCCATGAGAAAAATTGATTTGATATACGAGCAGATTGACTTACGAGCTCGGTCACGGAATGAATTGAGCTCGTAAGTCAAGGTGCCACTGTATTGGGTAGATGGGAATATTTTGAGGAACTTTTAACCCTTTGACTGTTTACGTCGTATGTATACGTCTTATGCACCACTGTTTCTGACATATTTATAAGCGTAAATTCTAGCGGCCTCAAATCAAGCAGGTGAAAGCTGGTAGGCCCACATGTGAGAGAATGGGTCTGTGTGGCCAGTGTGCACCACATAAAAAAATTCCTGCAGCACGCAGTGCGTAATGAGAAAAAAAAAACTCTTTGATGTTTTTTTTGGATTAAAATGCCAACTTTGAGGTGTATTTTCGTATACAGGTCTCCCTCAACATTTGCGAGGGTTAGGGGATCAAGAGCCTCGCGAATGTTGAAAAATCGTGAATGTTTGGCGCCCCAATATATTGTAGGGAAATATAATACAATACTGCTTCCTTAACTTGTTGAACCATGAACAATCATAAAATACATGAAAACGTCGTAAATTGTACTAAATATATACATGTTATGCTTTAATAACATGTATGTTATTGAATACCACAATTCCACCACTGCCTCCACCAATGCCTCCACCACTTCCTCAACCACTGTGAGTCCCTACTACCCTCCCACCGACCCCCGCAACTGGCAGCCAGCCCTCCCACCACTCAGTGTGGTGAGTGTTTTGTTTTTTCATTATTTGCTATTAAACTACAGTATAAATAATGTAAACCCATTCATGACTGCATATTGGAATGGCTATTTGGACAGGTATTAGACGGTGACATCATGTGTTTACTCTTGAACACAGCAAAGAATCAAACATTTCTGCTACTGCTAATAATAACAATAGTAATAATAATAATAATAATAATAATAATAATAATAATAATAATAATAATAATACGATATAATTGAAGAAGGAAATTGTACAAAAATACGAGGGAGTGGTTGACACATCGTCAGTGTGGCTTTGTTTATGCTGGAGTGAGCATTAGTCTCCCTGCTCTTCCAAACATTTCACAATAATTCAGCAGTTGAGTCAGTGGTATTTAATAACATATATGTTATAAATAATAATAGTACATATTATTAATAACATGTATTATTATTATTAATAACATGTATGTTATTAAATACCACTGCCTCAATCGCTGCCTCAACAGCTGCCTCACCCACTGCCTCAATCACTGCCTCAACAGCTGCCTCACCCACTGCCTCAATTGCTGCCTCAACAGCTGCCTCAACCACTGCCTCAATCACTGCCTCAACAGCTGCCTCACCCACTGCCTCAATTGCTGCCTCAACAGCTGCCTCAACCACTGCCTCAATTGCTGTCTCAACAGCTGCCTCAACCACTGCCTCAATCGCTTCCTCAATCGCTTCCTCAACAGCTGCCTCACCCACTGCCTCAATAGCTGCCTCACTCACTGCCTCAATCGCTGCCTCAACAGCTGCCTCAACCACTGCCTCAATCGCTGCCTCAACCACTGCCTCAATCGCTGCCTCACCCACTGCCTCAATCGCTGCCTCAACAGCTGCCTCCACCACTGCCTCAATCGCTGCCTCAACAGCTGTCTCACCCACTGCCTCAATCGCTGCCTCAACAGCTGCCTACCCACTGCCTCAATCGCTGCCTCAACAGCAGCCTCAACAGCTGCCTCACCCACTTCCTCAATCGCTGCCTCACCCACTGCCTCAATAGCTGCCTCACCCACTGCCTCAATCGCTGCCTCAACAGCTCCCTCAACCACTGCCTCAATCGCTGCCTCAACAGCTGCCTCAACCACTGCCTCAATCGCTGCCTCACCCACTGCCTCAATCGCTGCCTCAACAGCTTCCTCAACCACTGCCTCAGTCGCTGCCTCAACAGCTGTCTCACCCACTGCCTCAATCGCTGCCTCAACAGCTGCCTACCCACTGCCTCAATCGCTGCCTCAACAGCTGCCTCAACAGCTGCCTCACCCACTGCCTCTATCGCTGCCTCTACCACTGCCTCAACCACTCCAGTCACACTCAATCTACAAGCACCAAACAATGAATTATTGTGAAATGTTTGGAAGAGCAGGGAGACTAATGCTCACTCCAGCATAAACAAAGCCACACTGACGATGTGTCAACCACTCCCTCATATTTTTGTACAACTTCCTTCTTCAATTATATCGTATTTATTATTATTATTGTTGTTATTATTAGCAGTAGCAGAAATGTTTGATTCTTTGCTGTGTTCAAGAGTAAACACATGATGTCACCGTCTAATACCTGTCCGAATAGCCATTCCAATATGCAGTCATGAATGGGTTTACATTATTTATACTGTAGTTTAATAGCAAATAATGAACAAACAAAACACTCACCACACTGAGTGGTGGGAGGGCTGGCTGCCAGTTGTGGGGGTCGGTGGGAGGGTAGTAGGGACTCGCAGGTGGCGGGAAACTTGAATATGATTTGGCAGCTGGGAATTTGGCGGTTGGGAATTCGTGAATGTGTGAAGCCCGCGAAAGCTGAAAACATGAATGTTGAGGGAGACCTGTAGTATTTATCGTTATATTCTCGTTTTCATGGTCTCAGGTGACGAAATGGAAAACATATTACAGAAATAAAGATGATTTTCATTACCTTCATGTGAAGATGAAAACGACCTTGAAACTGAGCTCAAAGTACAGTGGAAATGTTCGATTTTTACCAATGTTCAGGAGTAAACAAATTACACCACACATCCAATACACGTCAACTGGGGAGTCTAATATTCTTTCATTAGTGCACTGATATTATTTATACCATTTTTACAATAATGCATTAGTCTGCATAACAGTAAATTTTGTATTTTTTTGTATGAATAAAAAATCAAAATAGAAAGCAATACGTAGTAATATAAGAGGGGCCTAAAGACATGACTAAGGAATAGAGGATATGTTATTTTAGTGCCAAGAATGTCTACATTGTTTATTCTGGACCCTATTTTGAAATTGGCATCTTTTTTAATTTTCATGAAATTGGCCAAATTGCCAATTTCTGACAACTTTATTGGGTAGTTCAAATCGGTAAATGGGCGGTTTCTTGTACTCAACTGATAGAAAAAATGGAGTTCTAAAGAAATAGCTATGAGTTTGGTCAACTGGAACAACGGAATTGGCTATAAACCGGGCTCAAAGTCGGCGAAATTGCCGATGCGTATATGTCACCGAGACCGCTAACTTCGCGGGAGCATAATTCTGTGAGTTTTCGACCAAATTTCATACTTTTGGTGTCATTACCATCTGGAAAAGATTCTCTATAATTTCGTAAGAAAAAATATTTTTTTTTTTTTTCCAAAGTTTTGCGACATAGAATGACAGTTTCAGAAAGGGGCCTGCAACAGTCAAAGGGTTAAATGTCAATGAAGAAAGGGAGGCAGTAATTTCATGCACTGGCCAGGGAGGTATAACATCTTTTATGAGTGAAGAGCAGGATGTGAGTGTTGGGAAGGTGCATGAGGCACTACATAGAATGAAAAGGGGTAAAGCAGCTGGAACTGATAGGATCATGACAGAAATGTTAAAAGCAGGGGGAGATATAGTGTTGGAGTGGTTGGTATTTTTTTATTAATAAATGTATGAAAGAGGGGATGGTACCTAGGGATTCGCAGAGAGCATGTATAATTCCTTTATATAAAGGAAAGGGAGATAAAAGAGATTGTAAAAATTATAGGGGAATAAGTTTACTGAGTATACCAGGTAAAGTGTTTGGTAGAGTTATTATTGAAAGAATTAGAGGTAAGACAGAGAGTAGGATTGCAGATGAGCGAGGAGGCTTTAGAATCGGTAGTGGATGTGTAGCTCAGGTGTTTACATTGAAGCATGTATATGAACAGTATTTAGATAAAGGTAGGGAAGTTTTCATTGCATTTATGGATTTAGAAAAGGCACATGATAGAGTGGATAGGGAAGCAATGTGGCAGATGTTGCAAGTATATGGAATAGGTAGTAAGTTACTAAATGCTGTAAAGAGTTTTTATGAGGACAGTGAGGCTCAGGTTAGGGTGTGTAGGAGAAAGGGAGATTACTTCCCAGTAAAAGTAGGTCTTAGACAGGGATGTGTAATGTCACCATGGTTGTTTAACATATTTATAGATGGGGTTGTAAAAGAAATAAATGCTAGGGTATTGAGGGGAGAGGGGTGGGATTAAATTATGGGGAATCAAATACAAAGTGGGAGCTGACACAGTTACTTTTTGCTGATGATACTGTGCTTTTGGGGATTCTAAAGAAAAGTTGCAAAGGTTAGTGGACAAGTTTGGGAGGGTGTGTAAAGGTAGACAGTAGAAAATGAATATAGATAAGAATAAGGTGATGAGGGTATTAAATGATTTAGATAAAGAAAAATTGGATATCACATTGGAGGGAGGGAGTATGGAAGAAATGAATGTTTTCAGATATTTGGGAATTGACTTGTCAGCAGATGGGTTGAGGAAGGATGAGATAAACTATAGAATTAATGAAGGAAAAAGGCGAGTGGTGCATTGAGGTATCTGTGGAGACAAAGAACGTTATCCATGGAGGAAAAGTAGGGATTGTACGAAAGTATGGTTGTACCACTGCTATAATAATAATAATAAAAATAATAGTTGCAGAGGTTAGTGGATGAGTTTGGGAGTGTGTGTAAAGGTAGAAAGTTGAAAGTGAACATAGAAAAGAGTAAGGTGATGAGGGTATCAAATGATTTAGATAAAGAAAAATTGGATATCAAATTGGGGAGGAGGAGTATGGAAGAAGTAAATGTTTTCATATATACTTGGGAGTTGACGTGTCGGCGGATGGATTTATGAAGGATGAGGTTAATCATAGAATTGATGAAGGAAAAAAGGTGTGTGGTGCGTTGAGGTATATGTGGAGTCAAAAAACGTTATCTATGGAGGCAAAGAAGGGAATGTATGAAAGTATAGTAGTACCAACACTCTTATATGGGTGTGAAGCTTGGGTTGTAAATGCAGCAGCGAGGAGGCGGTTGAGGCAGTGGAGATGTCCTGTCTAAGGGCAATGTGTGGTGTAA